CCACTCCAGTATTGATGTCTAGCTTCTGTTTTCTGTGAGGAAAGATAAAATCGGGATAAATCTTTGGCTTGCATGACTCTTGACAAGTCATGGGTATTTATCAGCTCCTGCTGTGACAGTAATGAATGATTCTAAGGAATTTGGTTGTGTGGCCCACCATTAGTTTGACATTATTTTTTTTACCACAGCACAAGTTTTACAAGACAAATCTTATTCTTCTGGTTATATTCGTAGCAATTTACATTGATTGCTGTATAGTGGATCAGGAAACTTTGAGAAGAAATATACTGAATATTTATCTTCTTGTTAAACAAAACAATCATGGTCAGTTTTTCTCCTCAAAATCTTTCAGTCTAGACACTCCTTTGAAATCACTTTTTGATGAAAGTTTGATTTTTAGATGCCTGCTCCTCTTTTTTTTTTCTCCCTGAGTGTAAGCTGAATTTCTGCCATCTCTCTACTCCCCTGTTGGCCATGTTAGCGTGGGAGTCGCAGGTGTTGAGTGATTTATGGCTTTAATTTACTTGATAGATTAAAATATAATAAAGAAACAAGCACAGAACATTAATTAGCAGAACACAGCGAGGTCCTGTTTTACTTAAACTCACTTGGCAGGAAGATGGAAAAAGCTGACAAATATACTCAACACATGGGGAAAATGATAAAGTTTATAAAAAGCGTGTATCTGGTGTTAAAAGGCTGATACATTTTATGGTGTTTTTTTATTGATCACACTATATACAAACTTTAATGTGTATAACTTAAAGTAATATTTTAAAGTATAAAGTTTAGAGCTGTATCTAAAAGACAGAACAGATTGTGGCAGTGGAAGAGCGGGAGCCTTGAAGTTTTTTCGGAGGACCGGAGCCTTTGTGGCGGCAGCTGAGTGAAGCAGACAGTTGAAGGGAACAGGTTGCTGCGTCTGTTAGGGCTCGTCTTGCTGCTCTTGACATTTAGCCTTTAGCAGTGACAGCTCCAGGGACGGGGAGATACCAAATTTTCACAACTGGAAAAGTGATGACTAGATGAAATACGACTAAAAACAGGAAAAAAACTGAATGGTTTTTAAATATTCTAAAGATCAACTTAACACACACTTTTATTCATGTGGAATATTTTAAGGTTGTTGTAAATTTTGTTTGACAGATATGATGCTAACCTACAAGCTGAAAGCCTTTCTGAACTAATAGCTAGCAATTATTTTTCAGATTACTGTCATTTAAACACTGCAATTAACCTTTTTGAACTTGTCAAAGACGTTTTTCATAAATGGAAAACGAAGAATCTTTAGGTTCTGTAGACATTCCATTGTTAAAAGTTATTGGACTGTGGATGAAAAATGGTGTTTTACTGTTTTGTGATATTTCACAAATAGAACAATTGACCATACAAGATGATAGTTTACAGGAAAATAATGATTGTCAACTGTTGACCTACTACCGTATTATTAGTATGTTGTGGAAACAATGTGTGACTTCGGTTTGAAAACATCTTTTTCATATCGGCTAAATCTCAGAATGCGGCTGCAGCAGACAGAAGGATTTTTTACTAATGAGCCCAGAGGATGTGATAATGAATGGCAGCTCAAAACCATGACACAAACTGCACACTTAAACCAACTGCAGGCTTTTTCCGCTCGCTCATACATTTGATGTTTGACCAGTGTGGACCTTTAACCCTCCTGTTGTCCTCATTTTCTGTATACACCCTTTGTCCTCCGGGTCAAAATGACCCGTCTCCACTAAATTCCCAATATAAGCAGCTTA